ATTACCAAAAGCGGGGGTGACCATCAGGCCACATAAGTTGAGCGAAGTTTTTAACACCCTCATAGTTGGAGGCACCTACAATTCCGTACCCTTCATACAACGACTCATCAGTGCATGGTCCAATGAAGCCATGGTAAGGCTCGGGATTAACGTTTCTCTGTTTATTTTCCAATGGAACTTCCTCAACCAGTTCTTTTAGTAACCCGAACGTGTCGTCTCGGAGCTTCTGCGATATGCTTCGGTACACCACCTGAAAACAACCGTAAGTCTCGAGCGCCTCCCGAACCCTCTTGCACAGTTGGTTCCACCCTTCGGTTCCTCGCACCAGGTCCGGCGATCCGGTTCCAAACTCAATGACAGGGATCTGAAACTCTGCATTGGCACCCATGTTAATTTTATTATGGCCAAACTAGATGGTTTTCTTAAGACTACAGAACTTGTGAATCAGCTTGGTTTGGTTTTACGAAGGGTTTTATCTCTATTTATAGCATCGGGTATCTAATTTTTGACGGCAAAAATGGATTTATTAAAAAAAAGTCAAATTACACATTCAAGATGAACCAGGTACAAAAACATGCCGGAAAATATAATATGTTAACAAAACTGCCGTGGTACATCAATAGCAGACTAATTAAAAATAAAAAAATCATCAAACGCAGATAAACAGATTCAAAAGTCTCCATTGTCAAGTTGAAGAAATGTTGAACCAATAAACAACTGAATTAAATTATATAATCATTAATTTTAAATTTTCATTAGGTTTAAGCATTAATCAAATATATGATCTAAAATTTATATGTTCTAACTTTAAATTTAAATAAATTATCAACATGATTTTAGTTTGATCTATTCAAATTTTTTACTTAACTCAAACAATTTTCGATTTAATCAAATTTATATGTTTAAGAAATGTAAAACCATGTAGCATCGTTTTCAATCCAATTATATATATATATATTCAAGATGGAGATCTGAATATAAGAAAATATATTTTGACTTGACTGGAAGTTAATTTTGCATATATTCTTCATCCCAATTATAATATGTTGCGCACATATATTTTATATTTTTTTTATAAAAGAATTATTTTAACTTCAAAAATAATATTATTTTAAAAAGTAATCACAATTTGTAAATATAAAATAGACATTATATATAAATATATAAATAATTATTAGTTTTATGTAATAAATATGGTGACATTAAAAAAAAACGAGGGGGAGTGCACCGGTCAAAGTAAAATTTTAACGGCATTTAGCGTTATTATAAAATTAAGACGGCGGATCCAATTTTTTTTATATATAACGTACAAATTTGGCCGCTCTCCATCTTTGGTGTCAGTTTATAGATATAATTTGTGTATTTTATTAATTTATTTGATTATTAAAAATTATAAAATAATTATTTAATTATAGAATATTACTTTATTAAATATTTTGATTATTGAAAGTTACAAAATGATAATTCATATATGTATTATGTTCCAAATTTATTTATTTTTTGTTAAAAAATCAGCTGGACATTACATGATAACTGAGATACAATAGTCATTTGAGATTCTGTGATCGTATTTTATTATATCATAGTCAACAAGTTAACGTTCAACTCATAATATCGTCAATTTTTTAACAGAAAGTGATGGATTTAAAATATAATGAATAGTCGAGTGATTAGTTTGTAACATTTTAAAAGTCGAGGGGTTCAACAAAACAACATTATATAGTCGGAGGATTATTTTGTAATTTTTAATAATCAATGGACTTAATAAATTAATACTATATAGTCGGGGTCCATTTATGTATTTTATCCTATATAAATATGAGTGAAATTTATACAATTGAACTAACATTTTTGTTGTAAGTTGAAGGGTAAAAAAAATATCATTAGGCGTGCAAGTTTGCCCGCTGTTCATCTTCGGTTTTAGTTTCAAGCTTGCAATTCAATAGTCAATAATGTACACTTTTCCGGTTGTCCATCTTTCGATAACAGATTCTTGCTGCAATTCAACAGTCAATACTAGCAAAGCGAGCGTAATAAAATTATTATATAGTTTTTTAATGTTTAGTGGTTCATTTATTTATATTTTAAATTTTTAATTATATTTAAAATGATATTAGATAATATCTAGATTTTATTTATAGAATTATTGTTAAATGATATGCATAATTAGAAAATAAGTGTTCAAACTATCACTTTTTTAAATAGATGTCCAAATTTATTTTCGACTCATTCAGGTGTTAAACGTTATTACTTTAGGTGTCTAGATCGAAAGTGTCGTTAAATTATGTTATTAAAGGAAAAATGTCGCCTTTATAAAATTTTAAAAATTTTATTTAAATAAAAAATTTAAAATTATTATTATATTTATTTAAAACCCCTAGTTTTTCAAAAATTACAACAAAGCCCCAAATCCCTAAAATCACCCACAAATTCCTAACCTTAACCCCAAATCCCAACCATGATCTATGTCGTTGACATCGTTGATGTCACGACGCCTCCTCTCTTTTCGGTTAAGATTGTCATTGCCATCGCTCGTGCAGTCGGGTCACGCAAATATCGTAATTATTTCTAGGGATGGCAACAGGTCAGGTGGCCGGGTTTTTAGTCGACTCGGCCTATCCAAAAAATATGTATCCTCCACCTAAACTCGACCAGACCCAAAAATTATATATGTTCCATCCGACCCGGTATAAAATAAGAACTTAATTAGAAAATAAAAAATTTTGGAAGAAATTACATTATTATCCTTGGGTCGAGTCAGAGTTTTTTCACCCTCCACCCAAATCGAGCCCGACCTCACTCCTATAAAAAAATTCAACTCGACCCGACTCAATTTTTTTATAAAAAATCTTATCATATCGGATCAGGTCAGGTCAGAACCTGTCATTTTCTGGTTAAATTGCAATCCCTAATTATATCTCCAAATGTTTCGCCATTAATCGATTTAAATCGTGTCATCATTGGTTGTTCATCATGTGGGTGGTCATCGAGAGGCACGGTCGGTGGTAGGTTCAACTGACAGCAATAATGGCGGTAAAGGAAGGTGACGACATGGGTATAGGGACTAGATTTAGGAATTTCAAAGTTTGAGGGGTTTTTTAATTGTTAGGGTTGATGAAGCTCAAATTAAACAACCGAAATATGTACAAGAGAGGTTAATCGGCAAAAAGTGATTAGGGAGTAAGGAGAAAGAAAAGATAGACAATTTTACACAACGATTTATAGTGGTTCGACTTCTCAACTAAATCTACCTCCACTACCGTTTACCTCCTCACTAAGGATTTTCCAACAAATCCACTAATTTGTTCTTTCTTTTTTCAATGACAAAGAGATAATCTTTACAAAAACTCCCTAGCTTTTCAAAGGTTCAGCTAAAATCAAAACCCCTTTACAAGGAAAAAAAATGTAAACAAATAAAACCTCTAAAAAGGAATGTGTTTACAAATTAAAGCTCACAAGAATAAAATATTTACAAGAGAAAGTAAAAATAAGAATGAAAATCTCTTCTCTTGTGTTTGATTTCTTGGATAGATGTTCTGATCCTTCTTCAAGTGACTTGAACTTGTATTTATATGTTGGAATGAGTTTGTGGATGTTTCTAGCCGTTGGGGATGATTTCTAGCGTTGGAGGATGTTTTCTCTGCAAAAATAAAATGCACAGTACAGAGGGTATCGATACTCCTATAGGGAGTATCGGTACTACCTTTGTTATTTTTAAATAAAACTAGTCGTTACTAGTCGTTGGGCCTGACGGTATCGATACTAAACATATGGTATCAATACTACTATGGAAAGTAGTATCGGTACCCCTTTGGGTATCGATACCTATTTTGCATTCTGGAATTTGAGCAATGCTAGTAGTATCAATACTACCTGAGAGTATCGATGCTTCTCCTACCTTGGGTATCAGTACCACATGAACAGTATTGATATTGTTCATATAATATCGATACTGTAAGAACAGTATCAGTACTTTATACGTGAAAATCATTTTTTTGCTCAAATTCACTTTTAAAGGACTTTGAATTATTTTTGAAAACTTTGAATAAATTCAATTCAAGTCCAAAAATATTTTGCCTTAATTTGTTATATCAAAATATTATAAAATATAGTTCAACATTAATATTTTTGAAAATTTTGGAGTTTTTTAAATATAATTTTAAGTCTTTTAATTTTAGATAAAATTTTAAAAATTATATGATCGCGACACGTGTCTTTTAACTATAGAATCTAACGTTCGTTACGGTTCAGGCACCTAAAATGATAACGTTTGTAACGTTAGATACCTGAATGAATGGAAAAAAGTTTAGTCACTTATATATTTTCTAATTAAGCCTAAATGATAATATATCAAATAGGACTAGTAAAATTAATTGCCATTGAAGGATCAATCATTGTTCTCTTCTATCTTTTTATGTTTTTCCTTCACTTCCTCTTCTTTCTTTTCTTCTCTTTCTCAAATTTCTAAGTTCTTTTTATAAATTCGTTTTCAATGATAATATATCAAATATGACTGGAGTGGACTTTACAGAAGTAAGTGCTTATCTACTCAATGCATGACATTAACAAATATCATCAGCTACTATTATTTATCCTAATAAGGTTTGAATTCCGTAGTTGCAGAATGTCGCAAACAAAATAGAAATCCATCTCCAAACATCATTCACTTAACAATTACTACAACACAACCATTAACAAGATATAGTAAATTTACTTAATAATCACATAAATTACACATTACTCCATTTTCATGGTAGCAACCTTGATACACTTAAGCACAAATCGAGCAACCTCAGTAATAAAGGAATTATTGTTATTCTTTGAGGTCTCGAGTTCGAACACTAAGAATGTTAGGAGTGTGAACGTTCAATGTCAAATGGTCAAGAGTTATCTTTGAATAGATATTATCTTATACTACCCTTAGATTAATCAAAATTAGAAAAAAAAAACATTGGCACACTTGCAAAATTATATGATAAGAAAAACCAAAATCATTGTAATACGATATAAAAACACAATTTTTGAGTCATTATTTATAACAAACTAAAATTATAGAAATACAATATGAATCAACAAGGATTCTAAGATGAGGACTCATTTATTATTTTATAACATAAATTTGAAGTCATAATTGGGTTTCCCCATCATATGAGCCGCCATCATTTTAACTGGAAACAGGTGGAGAGAGAGAAGCAAATGCTTGGATTTGTTTGGTGGATTCGATGTGTTTTGCTTGCTCGGAAAAGCAAAAAAGGATGAACTCCATGAAGTCGAAGTCTTTGAAAAGTTGAGGATGTTGCTCGTCCACGAGCTCTCTGGGAGTAGTGATCATGGTACCCTCAGCTGGAACTGCAAAGCATGCCATAGAGAATCGATCTTTGTTTCCTCTCATCATCACTCTGTGATTCACCGCTTTTATTCTCCCATTACTCCATGCCTTCAATTTTTCATTTTCCCCACAGTTAATGATACAAATTTAGATATGGACAACTAGAGATATGATATTAACAGCAGTACATATACATACCATGAGAGGATCTCCGACCACAAAGAAAAAGGAGCCGGGAGTTGAAGACAGCTTGACCCATTGGCCGTCATCGAGCTCAATTTCGAGGCCTGAAACAAGATCATCGCAGATGATTGTGCTGACTGGTTTATCGGTATGAGAATGGAATGCTTTCTCGTAAACCCCAGTTGGAGGGGCCTTGTATTTCATCATCCGCAGCAGCATGTCGTAGTTGCTTACCACTGACTCCAATTTCTCCCCTAATCCATAGCTATCTATTATCATTAACCATATCGTACGGGTCAGCTCCTTCATCTGATTCACTATGGTGTGCACAGTTTCGCTGTGACAAATTAAACATCAAAACATTTTATTAATGATTTGTCAGATTTCGAATCACAAATTAAGGTGAAGAACAGGTGTTATTACCAAAAGCGGGGGTGACCATCAGACCACATAAGTTGAGCGAAGTTTTTAACACCCTCATAGTTGGAGGCACCTACAATTCCGTACCCTTCATACAAAGACTCATCAGTGCATGGTCCAATGAAGCCATGAAAAGGCTCGGGGTTAACGTTTCTCTGTTTATTTTCCAGTGGGACTTCCTCAACCAGTTGTTTCAGCAACCCGAACGTATCATCTCGGAGCTTCTGCGAGATGCTTTTGTACACCGCCTGGAAACAACCATAAGTCTCGAGAGCCTCCCGAACTCTCTTGCACAGTTGGTTCCACCCTTCGGTTCCTCGCTCCAAATCCGATGACCCGGTTCCGAACTCGATGACTGGGATCTGAAACTCGGCATTGGCACCCATGTTAATTTGTTACGCTCGAACTAGATGGTTTTCTTAAGATTATTGAGCTTGTGAATCAGCTTGGTTTGGCTTTACGGAGGGAGTTGCTTCTATTTATAGCATCGGGTATTTAATTTTTCAGGGCAAAAAATATAATTATTAATAAGAATAGTCAAATTACATTCAAGATAAACCAGCTACAAAAAATGCTGGAGAATATAACATGTTAACCAAAAAAAAAAAATCGGAGATAAACAGATTCAAAAGTCTCCATTTGTCTAGTTGAATAAATGTTGCACCAATAACTGTATAAACGTCACACACTAAATCCAGGTAGCTACCAATCTTTCACTTCACATTCTCAGTAATATCTGAAACCTTTCTACTATAGCAATTAAAATTCTATTCCACTAAGAAATATTAATTTTTTTAAGTAATTAAATGTAATCACCAATTTTATCTATATAATTCTGATTATCAACATAATCTCAGTTTGATCTATATAATTCTTTTATTCACTTCAAATAAATTTATTTAACTTAATTAAAAATAATAATTTAATTTTGATTTATAAAATAATAGTCATAATAACAAAATCACCTTCAACGTTTGCATAAATGGTCACTTTGTCCCTATCTTTTTCTTTTAGTATTTTAGCCTCCAACGTTTCACTTTAGAGCAAAATGTCCCCTCATTGGATGAAAATTGTAAGTTGACTAACTGTCATTATTTCATACGGACGTAGCAAGTCCATGTATGAAGTCACTTCAGTAAAAAAAATATTTTAGAATAAACTATAATTATAATTAGTTACATATACACATATAAAAGTATATTTAAAAATAGTTTAAAAATATTTTTTTTGTTGAGGTGGTATCACACGTGGACCTGCCATATCAATAAAAAGCGTTGACCGCGTTAGTCAACAAACGATTTCCATCCACTAAGAGACATTTTGTTTTAAAATAAAACATTGAGGGCTAAAATTCTCCAAAAACAAGGGATAAGAGACAAAGTGATCATTTGTGCAAACGTTGAGGGATAACTTTTTTATTATGCTAAAATAATATTTATTAATTTGATTGATTCAAATTCTTTTTTTAACTTTCTACTTGATCAAACGCCCACCGAATGAGATTTCCACAATTAGCAATAAGACAACAAATGCAAAACCATGTACCCGATTATATATTTTTAGTTGACTGGAACTCAATTTTTCAAATATTATTTATCCAAATTGTATAATGCTGACACAACAAAAGAGAAAAGAATAGAAGACATTAACCAAAATCATGACCGTTGATATTTATAAATTCAATGCATCCCAGTTTAGTAAAGTGACTAGTAGTATTGTAGGTGTTAGGGTGTAATGGTAAAACTCTTTATATTTTAATGAAATTTTTATTGTTACGGCACTGAAGTTACCATAAAATTAAGATGCCTGATTAGGGGTGTAAACGAGTCGAGTCGAGTTCGAATATTGTTGAGCTCGACTCGACTCGAAAACTCTGAAATAGAGTTCGATTTGACTCGAAAACTCGCGAGCTTAAAATTTTCAAGTTCGAATCGAACTTGAAATCCTGAACTGAAGCTCGTGAGCAGCTCGAAAAAGCTCAAAATGAAAGAAAAAAAATCTTAAACTTAACTCGATTGAAGCTTCAAACTCAAACTCGAACATGAACCTTAAATACATAAAAATCTTATTGTATTTTTTTAAAAAAATCAATATATAAATATTAATATTATTAATAATTTATTTTCTAAAAAATAAAATCTTAATATATTATATTTTTAAGCTGCTCACGATCTTTTCGAGTCGAATATCGAGTAGCTCGTTTCGGCTCGTTAAGAACTCGAGTCGAGCTCGAGTCGAATCCATTCAATCCGAGTCTTTATCAAACCTTAATCGAGTCAATCTCAAATAACTCGCTATCTGTCTCATCTCACTTACTGCCCTATGTCTAATTCAACTTTTTATATGTAACGTACAACTTTGCCCGCTGTCCTTCTTTGGAGTTTGTTTATAGCTACAATTAGTGGATTTTATGTAAACGTAAAATCTTATCTTCTGAGAATGGATTTTTAATTTTTTAAGAAAAACCAAGTTTAAAAGATTTAGGTGATGAAAATATATTATTAATAATAAATATAATTATTTTGAATATATATAATAATTTAAAATTTTCATATAAAACAACGACTCTAACTTGACGAATACCCCTTAATCCGTCTTTGGTCCCACTCTGTGAATTTTATATATTTGAAATAACGTTGTCTTTTAAGTTTAAGGGTAAAAGTATAATTAGACACACAACTTTGCGTGCAGTCCATCATCGGTAAGGATGAGGGGTCGAGCTAGATTGGGTTTTCGATCAGTCTAACCCGATACGAAAATTATACGTCCTCTATCGGATCTGAATTTAACCCGAAAATTATATATATATCATCCGATCTAAACTTGATTTGATTTTTTGAAATAAAACCCGAATTTAAATTACCCCAACTCGATCCGAAGTAATAGTTATAAAAAATTAATATTTTTATTCAATGAGAAATAGGAATTTATTGAAAAATAATAATATATAGAGGGGTGTTGTTATAATTATCTTAAAATATATAATATAAAATTATAATTTTTTTAAGTCAGATCGAGTCAAATTCGATATTTTTTACTTTAAACTTGAGTCGTTCCGACCTGACTTGACCTTGAAATTTAAAAAATATATATAATCTAATAACGTTATATCGTGTTAAAACTTGTCGAATTGGAATACCTCACCAATCATCAGTTTCAGTTTAAAGCTACAATTCTTTAGTCAATAATGTACACCTTTTCCGGTCTTCGGATACATCTTCTTGTGTGCAATTCAAGAGTCAATACTAGTAAAGAGATGCATAATAACATTAGAGTAAATTACACGGTTTCTCACTTAACTTTATTTTTTCTTTTATTTTGTTTATTATACTTTTAATTTTTTTATTTTACTCACTAAATTTTATATATTAAATAATTTTGTTCACTTTGCCGTTAACTCTCTAACAGTAATAACATGTCATTTTTTTATTAATATTTTATATAAAATAATTGAAAATATAAAGGGTAAATTACACCGTTCTGCACTGAAATATAAAATAAAAACAAAAGGTGGTTGAATGCCACCACCTACCACTGTCGATCGCCGTAGACGGTGACCATTCTGTCCCAAATTTCATAGGTCGCATCGGCACCTTGAGTTCGAATCCGACCTCTATTTTGTCAGAATTTGCTTTGAAGTGCACGAATCAGAGATTGAAAGTGAGAAAGCATAAACGTTTCAGTCGAGATTCACGGATTTTAATACATTTTCCGGTGAAACAACTATCAGATTCGGATTTAGGGGGTCGAGATGAACCGACCCATGACTTTTGGGACCGAACGGCAACCATCAACGAAGATCGACGATGGCCAAAATGAAAAATAACGAGGTGGCCGACGGGGACAATGTGGGGAAAGAAAAAGATTCGAAACGACGTCATTTTGGTGTATATTTGAATTTTCAAAACGAATTCGTTTTGATGCTTGTGCCATGTTATAACACCGTTAGAGAGTTAACGGTAGAGTGAGCAAAATGATTCAATATGTAACGTTCTGAGTAAAATAGAAAAATTGAAAGTATGTTGAGTAAAATAGGAGAGAGAATAAAGTTTAGTGAGACAGTATAATTTACCCATAACGTTATTATACAGTTTTGCAATGTTCAGTGTTTTGTTATTTCTATTTTAATTTTTTTTTTAAATGACATTAGGTAACATATAAATTTTGTTTATAGATTCATATTTTCCAATAATAATATACAACAAATCGATTAACAATTTCTATCAAACAAACTGATATAATTGTATATAACAAATCCAACAGATTTGATCTTGATACTTCTACTTGGGCTAGACTCTTCTAAATCTCGATATCTCTCTGGTATCTTTAACATGGATATCAGTTTCATATGCTTTAAAAACTATTAAATTTATGTAACAAATATTAAAATTTTCTTCTTTTTTCACATGAGTACACACTGACCAAGTAGACCGAGAAATGTCGTCCAAGTTGCCATAGTTGAACGGACCAAATAGGATATTGTATTTCGACTGCAGTCCGATTGTGCAATATATATAATTTGTTTTAATCTTATAACAAGTCAGAATTCAACTTTGCCGATTATAATGTAATCAACCCAAATCTTTTCTTTCCTTCCAAAGCTATTTGGCATGAGAAAATATCCTAGGTCATTAGTCCTTGGGTGTCATTCAGTAGGACTATAACGTACTGTGTTATTGTATAATTTGATGACTTAACTATATAAAATTTAGGCTTCAAATATTAATTTGAGTCCATACACAGAATGTATATTCGAGATCTATATTAGGGCTACATGGTGATTAAGAGTTTGGTTTCATTTTTTTTTATATAATTAAATTCTAGAATAAAATATTTTAAATTTGGAAATTATAGAAATAATCAAAATGGAAACTGAGCTAGCTGATGATGCTTGTATTAAATAATATCCCTTGGTTTTATAGCATCTGATAATTTCTTCTTCTACATAATTCTCCTTTAATCAAGTATTTTATTTGTGTTGAAATTTAATAAGATGTTGGCTGTCAATATTGACTAATCGTTTGCAATTTTCAGTTGTTTGGGATATTTGGTCTCTAGTAAATTAATTGTTTACAATACGCATGGCATGCAGCCATACACGACTCAATTGTTCATGCATATATGTTACTTCACTTAGTTGTGATTTAATAAATTAACACATTCTTAATTAAAATCATCTAGTTTATCCGATCTACCCTATTTTCTACAATAAATACAAAGACAATAAAATAAAATATATGATTTGCTTCTTCTTTTTTAACAAATAAGTATTGTTAAAAAAAATTTACTTTCCTTCTTACTTTAGTTTCGACCAAAACAATAGGGAGAAAAATGTCCCAAAAACTTATATTCAAGGGCTGCTTTATCTTTTAATAAAAAAAAAAAGGGCCGCTCTATCTTGAATGTGTAATTTGACTATTCTTCTTAATAATTCTATTTTTTGCCGTGAAAAATTAAATACCCGATG